AAAGGTCATCCATATACGCAATAAGTGTAAAATAACGAAAATATTTCAAAAGCATTATTTTTCAATTTGCTAGTAATGTAATTCAAGAGTAATTATCTATTTGTAACGAATTTAACAGTTTATAGCGCTAGCATAACATACAACCTTACTAATAAACAAAGATTGCAAACTTTCAAAAGCTTTATTTTTCAATTTGCTAATGATGTAATTTGATGGTACTTATGTATTTTTAACACATTTAACAGTTTATCGCTTTTTGCATAATATACAAACTTACAAGTTCTAAAAGGTCCATGAAGTTCTATTAGGCCCCAGAAAGCCATAGTACTACTATACTTATACATGATTTTAGAAATTTAGTGTGGAGGTTGAATTAAAAAAAAACCTGAATTAAATCCTTCTTCCTTATGAGCAAAAGTTCATCGAATTATGATAGATGAAAGTCAATTATTTTATAAAATGTCATAACAGTAATGTCCAAGTATCTAATAACTTACTTAACGGTTACGATTGAGTAGTTAGTTCGATCCTCATGGGTCGCTCCTTAATGTCTGCCTTGTGTCATATGTCAGATGTAGTTAGTAAATCACTGAGCACTTCGATGTGGTTTGATAGTAAGTTTGTCAGGCTATATCAATTACAACTGACTAGGGAGTTGGATTAAGTCACCATAAGCTAAACTTATTTTATTACTAAGTTTCATTGTTTGGCCAGCAGCGGAATTTGTATTCACTTCGGTATCAATGGTCTGCGAGCTCAGATGAATGTTTGAATTGTATTAGGTTACAAAGAGCTCAAAACGAAACTCATTTAATAAACATGTGCATCAAATAATGTATATTTAAACAAGCCTACTTCAGACTTACTTTCGAAAATAATTAAGGTGTTGTATACAATGTGTACCGTGTGAGCTTCCCACTGGAAATATATTACCGTAATTCCCCATATATAATACGACTTCAAAGATAATACGCACCCCCAAAAATTGTGCTGAAAGTGTGAGAAAATGCTTCTACCCAGGCATAATGCGCACCCACTGTTTGGTAATCAGACCCTATAAATTGTACCTCTCAAATTTCATTATGGCCAGCGTTTCCTACTCATATTAAAAGTGGTTTTAAGCATAGAATATTGTTCTAATTTAGTTTCATCATAAATCATATTTTATTTTACATTTTTAAGTCTTGTTAGGTACATATTGTATTTGACATTCTTATGGAGTCGCGGACGTCACGTTTGGAGCGGCGACACCCGGACGAAGCTGCGAGGAGCGAGCGAAGGCTGTGGGGACGTCACAGACCTATGAAACACCAATATTTTTTTTTTGTAGCTGTGCATAATACGCACCCATAATTTCGCTTATTATTTTTTTAGAAAAAGTGAGTATTATACATGGGGAATTGGGGTAGATGAAATGTAAAGTCCGTTCAAAACTCATTGCACAAATTAAACAGAAAGTGTTTGGAATATTTCTGAAGATAACCGATGTATATTTTTTAGGTAAATAACAGAATAAATATAAAATACTTATGATTAATGATCGTCATCATTAATAGTTTCCAGTATGAATAGCTTATTAATGAACTGTTTATCTTCATCTTAAATATATTTACTGGGAAAGAAAATTATGGAGCGTTTTTAAGTGAATTTCAAAATTAATAGATATTGTAGATATATTTATTCAACTGCAGATGTGCCATTATATTTAAGTGTAGCTGAAAAGTTGTTATTTTCAAAAACTGTTAATGCTAATTCCCTCACTAAATAAAGAAATATTCTTATAGTCCAAATTATATTTCACTTTAATTAACCCATTAACAGTTGATCAACTTAAAAATAAATAAATTAAATTAAAAAAAAATAAAAATAAGAATTTCAATCTCTTTCACTCTCCATTGAGTAGACCCAGGATATTGTTATTGTTGGTAGGCGCCTTATTTGAACCCTCTATTGAGACCTAAGCAATCCTCAGTCTTCAAGTGGAACTCATATATCTTATCTATTGCCAAAGTTTATTGTACCGCTCCAGTAAGTATCTGATTCTTTTTTGCTAGACTCTCCTTCTCTTCACAAGAGACAGACCAAAACAAAGTTAGACCCGCCCAGTCCTGACGTGCTTGTCTTGATAAAATTTAAAAAAAGGCCTAAGGCTCTTGTTGGTGATGAATTATTTTCTACGCTACAACGCCTTTCGCATGGAAGAAACTTTGCTGTTCAAGTTCCATGTCATTTATTCTGACGAAACTCCATTCCTTATTCCTGACACCCCTGGCCTTTACAACTGGGACCCACCATGCCACGTACACAAGGAGGAATCATCCCCATTCCCCTCGTATTCCATCAGTAAGTAGGAATTTCCATTCAGACAGCTTCATCGCCATAAATGCGACTTCGTCGAAGAAACTCCCGGGAGGTTGTTTTCCTAATCATGACAATCTTAACCTGTCTAGAGTTAACCGTTATCTCCGCTGCCTATCCGTATAAATTGCCTCTTAACATAACTCTCTACCGCAAGTAGACCCAGAAACTTGTACAGGGTGAACATTACTGTAAAAAAAACAAAATAATTAAATTACATTTGAAATAGTGTGAGAGATACATTTACAGATATTGTGTGAGAAAACTAGTTACGATTTAAACTACTTAAATTTTACTAACATGAAAAAAGTAATGCGTATGTATTATGTTTTGTAAGCGTTATCTTTTCTATAAAACCTCACGAACTCCAGTTATTGACTTCTCTTAGGCTCGTAACATTTTTCTCCTAAGACTGTGAGATTAATTAAATCAGAACTAGCAAAAAGTAGAAGTGTCAGTTATCTCCCTTGAATGATTAATAGCGTCTCATGCCAGTTTTCTCAATGTTGTTTTACTGAGACGGAGTCGGGTGGTGAAGAAAAACAAAAAAAAGAAAGAAACATGTAGTTCGTTCAGACGCTTTGTTTATACAGCAGCTTTCATTAACTGAAACATAGCGTCTACCAGCGGAATTAGAAGCCAGTTTATTCAATTTGACAATTGGATATTTTTGTGTTTCGGATTTAATTATTTAGTGAAGGAAACTGCTACAATGTCAGGCTATTATAATGATTTACTGAGCTTAGTTTTAGCCCGTGGTCACAGATATAAAGCATCGTGAGAATCGAACGCACTACACATTACTAACCATCTACAGAATTTGATCGCTTCTCACAATATTCAAAACCACACTACTACAAGGAATGTTGGTTCTCTGTGTCGTGTCAGAAAGTATTTTTTTCGTCTGAGACCATCTTTCAAATCTATATATCAACCATCCTTCCTTGCATGGAATACTGCTGTCATATACGGTCTGGTACCACGCTGTACGTCTCGAGGTCCTCAACAAAATTAAGAGACCGGTATGCAATGTGATAGGTCCTGATCTGGCATATCGTTTACACTCACTTTCTCACTACCCTGCCGTGGTTTTCCTCTGTCTCTTCTATAAGTATTTCCATAGCAACTGCTCCGAAGATGTAATTTCCCTGGTAGTCAAACTGCATGAATTTGAGCGTGATACTAGATTGGCATCTCGGTCCCACCCTTTCACAGTCGTTACGGCTAAATGTAGCCGTCTTTTCTACTCCAACAGCTTTTTCTCGTGCACTTCACATCTGATGAACTCCTTTCCTCTTACTTGCTTCCCTGATAACTATAATCTTTAAATATATAAGTGTAATGTCAATCGCCATCTGATGCCTTGATCTTCTTTCCCGTCCTTCTCTTTATCCTTTCCTCAGACACGACTCTTTATTCTTGCTCTCACTCTCTGTAAGCCCTTGCGTGCCAGTGACACTCCCACTTTGATTCAGGTGAAATGTTTAAAAAACAAAAAACAAGAACAAAAACACACACACACACACACACACACGATAACCCCCTACCTTGATTAAATTATTGTCCTTTTATTGAGTGAACCTTAGTGTATTTAAGAAAAATCCTATGTATCTTCAAAATTTTCAATAATTTCACATGTCGTTTCTTTCAACTCTATTTTTTAATCAGTATCACCCATGCAAGAGAGTAAAGCCACTCAGACACAAATGGTTACAGGGTGTGGAATAAACATTACTAATGAACGAAAAGAGAAAAGAGTTATCACCAGAACAGAAGATAGCGATTGACATTAGACTTAAATTTTTGCAGATTAAAGTTGCATTGAAAGCATGGAGCTGGAAGTGAGTTCCACAATCAAGAAGTGCGGGAGAAGAAACTATTAGCATTGATCTTACGGTTATTTCTAGTCGGATCAAGTATAAATTGATGAGATTTCCACGCCAGTCTAGTACTGCGATCAAATTCAAAGACTATCTAGGTACCATAGCGAAAAGCGATATTTATATCAGCTATGTACTGAAAGTGTGACACAACGGAATGGGGAAAATGACCGTCTTCATCTGTCTGAACATTAAACTTAGCTCGCCACAAACACTTACCCTAACATACTACAATATTCCTAATACCAAAACAGCTCGCCCGAACAATTACCATGAAAGTATTTATATAAAAGTCACAGAGAGGCAACCTCACGGAGGTGGGAAAATGAATGAAACCGAACCGCCAGATCAGGACTAATAATATAGCTGATTTTTCTCTGGATTTTAACAAGGAGCCCATGTTAAATAGCAGGAGCACTGGACCATAGCAATATTCTAAGCATGGATGAATGGTAGGCTTATAGATACGTAAGATAGGTTCTGGAGAGAAAAATTGTCTCGGCCGACCAACTTTCTTAGCAGTTAACCTTATGTGTTGACACGTTTTCTGTGATCGACTCTCTGAGAGTTCTTAAGTAGGTCTACACGAAACATTCCACTACTTCTCATCACATGGTGTGTTTAATTTTCCATACTTTCTTTAACTGTGCAAATATCAATAAACCCTCTAAGAATTTCAGTGAGTGAGTAATGTCGTAGAAACTTTGTACAGGAACTTGGTGTTGAAAACATCAATGATGTGTAAAATAATATGATTATCACATGAAAACAGTAGTTTCTTCTCTCGGCAATTCGATAGAGAGATCTGGTATAATTCCACTTTGCTTTGGGTAACGTTCATCAGACAATGTCCCATGAGGCCTATTTTCAAATAATTATAGGAACTCCTTTAAAAGAAACAAAAAAATAGACTTGCAAATATGAATTGCGTGTAAAACGAGGGTCCCTCTGGAGAAAACAAAAAGGATAGAAAAGTCTGTTATGACTAATTAATTGGCATGTTTTCAAGCTAAAGACGTAGACATCGGCCATTTTCTTCCTTATCAAACGGTTCAGAACACCAAAGTTAAATTGAAAGTTGCAATAATGTAGCATTGGCACGAATTAACAATCGACGAGTCGAGAAAGTTTGTATCTTTTGATGACATCAGCAATGATTTATTGTGTAGTCACCCTTTTCCTTGCCGCAGAATGCGTATTTTTCTAATAAGATTTCTCGAATATTCAGACCGGTAGAAGGAAATAAATAAATATAATGTTTAATAAATAAATCGGGCATCTGCTCAAATATGTGTATCGATTAGAAATAACGTTTAAGCAATATATATATTAGAAATAACGTTTAAGCAACTAATATATATATATATATATATATATATATATATATATATATATATATATATATATATATTATAATTACTACTTATTGTATTTAAAGTACAATTACGGCACAAGGCCAAAATGGGGAGGAGTTGAGGCTTGTCGTCACTATCTTATACCTCGCTAATCTGATTCCCGACCCATTCACACATTACAATTTCCACCTTTACCATTACAACTCGTCCGTCACCATTCAATCCTCCATATGCCATAATACCGCATCCTCTCAAGGGGAACCTACAAAACGCTCCCCATGCCATAAAAATCAAATGATTATAAAATATATACTTAAAAATTTATGGATGAATAGAATGAGAGGAGGGGGACAATGAAACACCAAAACAAACTAAATATAAACACAAAACAAACTAAACATAACTGATGTTAGTAGGGCCCGCCCAACCCCCCAAAAAGGAGAGGCCGTTGTATTCTGCCCCTTGGACAAAATCAAGAAGCTCTCTCGCTAAGAGAGTGGGAATGGAGAAAAATATATTCGGACATGGGAAATAAAAAGCTGACCCAGTGAAGATAAAAAGTGGCCGAAACAAACTGGGGAGGTTGGGTATCTCAACTTGGATCATAACCAAACAGGCAGCCGGGAACAGGCAAGGAACAACTCTTACTCACATTAACTAGGTACACAGAAACTTGTCTAACCTAACCAAGGGGAGGGCTCCACAGGAAACCACCAGGAAAAGTAAAATTGCAAAAAAAAAAAAAAAAAACCGGAGTAACAAAATAACTCGTTGTTTTTGCTTTGATAAAGTCCATCCAAGGACGAAACGGGTTGTCTAAGAAATGTTTTTCCACTTGTCTTTTTATTCATTTTGTTCGTTCACAGAAAATAATTTACATAGACACACACACACAGACACACACACACAGACACACACACACACACACACACACACATATATATATATATATATATATATATATATATATATATATATATATATATATATATATATATATATGTGTGTTTGTGTTGGTGACGCACAAAAGATTATCTCATTTTATATAATGAGATATTCATTTTGGATCACGACAAGGAAATAATAACGGAATTGAAGATGCATTCAATTTTTTTTTATTAATATATTTGATAATTTACGGAGTGTTATAATTTTTTTTAAAAAATTGGTAATTTTTATATTACAAAAAATATCATCGACAAAATTCTTCAGTAGTCTTATAGAAAATGTTATGTAACTAAAATTAATAAAGCACAAATTTTTTCTCTCACTCTCTATGTATCTATCATTATATCTCCGTCTGTTCATATCTATCTATCTATCTATCTATCTTTTAATCTTTTAATCTATCTATCCCAGCGAAGTTTAAACAACGTTCGATTCTGTTCCGTACTTAGATGGATGACTGCTTGGGAATAACAGGTACTGTAATTTTGGATGTGTGTGTTCATTAATACATGATGGATCGGAATGGGAAATAGGAGATCCGAGTTCCAATTCCACATACCCTCTGGAGCGTTATGGATCCCCTTCTTATCTCCTAGCTATGGGTTAAATAATCTGACATGAATCAGTAATAATTTATTATTTATATAAAAAAAGCCTTTAAATAACATTAAGATTTATAAACAGTTAAAACAAAACCAATCTATCTATCTATCTATCTATCTATCTATCTATCTATCTATCTGTTCACATCTATCTATCACAAAATATTAATTAATTGCTATATCTATCTATCTATCTATCTATCTATCTATCTATCTATGTTCATATCTATCTATCACAAAATATTAATTGCTATATCTATCTATCTATCTATCTATCTGTGTCGTATTATTGATAACAGGACAAGTATTTTTTTGTTCTTTTTAAGCTGCACTTTTGAACATCATGGATGTATAAGAGATTTTATATAATTATAAAGATAACCAATAGAAACAACAATTGTTAGTTAGAAAAAGGACTTAAAGGAATGCTCAAAAACTTTCCATGAGTCACAGCGTTTAAATAATAATAATAATAAATTTATATACCTTAATCCTAATTCTTTGCTTTGTTGCCAATTGATTAGTCGTTTCATCCAAGCATACCTGCTTTTAGAGTTTTATTTTTCTAAGCGAAGTTAATTATTATTTTTATACGTTAAAAATTTGTGATAATAGAAAATGTTGAATTTCACTGTAGATCAAGCCTCCTCCGTGTTAATTTCTCAACACGTTTTCCATAATTGTAATTTTCCAAAATCGCTAAAATTTTACATGGATCTTCGAGCCATTTTTAAAACTTTTTACATGGATCTTCGTGCCATTTTTAAGCGCACTATAATGGCAATATTCACCTAATTCTTCCTGGTTTTCTCATCTCTCTAGGAGAGTCATGCTTACGTGCTTCGTCATTTAATATCTGACCTATACTATTGTTTCGAAAAGACGTGATCTTTTTTAGAATCGGGTTTAAAAATATTTTCAATATACAGGTTGTAAAGTAACTCCCCTATTTTAAAATACTTATAATTTATTTAGCTATACTTATTATAGGAAATAGGTATGAGAGGAAATCGTTTATCATGAGGTCTCATTTAAAATTCGATATGGGCAACAGACTTCTCTACCGGCTTAGCGAACCGCCCAGGAATTGCGTCAACTGATTTCACCACGAACTCTTGTGGTATGGAAGACATAAGGTCTTGTATTCAGCCTTCAAGTTCTTCCAAAATTCTTTGGTATAGTATAATAGCTCCTTTAACTAACCCCAACCAAAATATGCCACAGGGCGTTAAATAAGGAATCCTGGCTGGACATTCATAAATAAGACAGGGGGTACTTTTCAATCACCCTGTCTACTCAAAATATCTTTCTTTGAGGAAACTTCGAGCTCTTGAATATAACATTAGATTCCACGCTCAATGCTGAGTAGGTTCGGGTGGTGTAATGGATAGCTGGTCGAATTTTAGTCGGGTTCGTTAAATTTATATAGAGGCAAATAACCTTGAGGAAGGTATGGATACATCTAATCTCTCAGAGGTAAGAGATAAATATAAATGATACTTAGAGCTTAAATCCAAAGTTAACTTGTACCAAGAGAATTTTCTTTAGTACTGTTAATAATTTAAAAAAACAAACTGTTAAAAAATAGAATTAATCTTAAATTTAAAATATGGTTCTACCTTAAGCAACTCACAATTGGTTGTTAATTCAGTCAATCCACGGCCATTCTCTGTCACTCCATCAGTGAGTTAAGTGTCATTACTTGATATGCAATTGGACGATCATGTCTCGTTACATGACTGACTACGTAGATGGTTTTTCTCGCAATATTTTTGCCATTTCTAAGACTAGTTACCAAACAAGGCTATAGAACGCAGGCTGTCCTGTTATTTAACCCATAGTTGGGGGATAAGTGATCGATTTATAATTTTTTTCAAGTGTAATTGCACGTAAGAGAATTCAGGGAACACGACATGAATTCGAACTCGGCTCTCCGATTTCTCATTCCAAGCCGTTATCCATTACTTCAGAAAATCCCCACCCCTACTCAATTGGCTTACTTCATGAGGAATACATTATGGGGCACGCAGTGAGGATTAAATTCACTCTTGATGGTTAATTAGCTATCATTAAACAGTTATCCTTTTCCTCAGTACGCTAATCATTATTTCAATTTTCTCTTGCGTTTCGGAATATAGCTTGTGTGACAGTGGACGTTCAACTCATGAAAATTATTTCAAGCGGTCAGCTTTAACCGGAAGTAAAAATAATTCCGTGTTTGATCGGCGAAGATAAAACATATTAACTTGGTTTCGGAGATTTAAGCACGTTTTCTCCCCATTGAATTTAGAATTAGATCAGATAAGAAATCACAAACAGGCGTGTGACATCTTGATGCATGAGTGTGTTTCAAAAACAGTGGTAATAGTAATCGGAAAAGATGTTTAAGAAAATTTTTGTAAAGATGAAAAAAAAACAGCAACTTTCTTTAAAAGATAACATATAGAAATGCATAAACTAGAAAAGAGCGAATAAGAGGAAAATATGTTATTTTATTTTAATTTTTCTGTAGTAGTGTGTAACAGTGAATCACAAGGATGTCATGTTGGAGCGTATATAAATATATACAGTATATTTCATGTTTGAAATAAAGCTTCAGGATATGTGCGTTGTATTTTGGCAAAGAATTTATATTTATACATACACTCTAACTAAATTTTATTTTTTATTCCCGGAGTCATTTTTTCTAATTTCTTACTGAATTTGTAGGTCTGATGAATTGGGCCGTATATACGATTCCAATGTAATAAATTATGACCATAGATTACTAGTGTTTAAACCTTTTATTATATATATATATATATATATATATATATATATATATATATATATATATATATATATATATATATATTTTAAAGAAAAACAAACCACTTTAAGGTTCCATTATAATAATTTATTTCATCAGAACACTTTTAAAGGACGCCGGATCATCAGATAGCACTTCCAAAAACGAAACGGTAAATGGAATTAGAATTGATGGGTAGTGTAAGTTTTTATAATTTAACAGAGAGTGTAATGATTAGTAGTTAAAGAGACATGGTAAAGTTTAGGGAGGGATTAATTTCATATCTCTCGCAATCATACTTAGTATTGGGGGAGAAATAGTGACCAGACATTGATCTATTTAAACGGTTAACTTAACGAAAGTGATATAATGAAATGGGAGGGGAGGAGAGAGAAAAGAAAAAGGAAAAAGAAAGAAGGGGGAGAGGGAAGTAAAGAGAAAGAAGCTGTAACTGGGTTTTAGCAATTTATGTAAAAATAGATTTTTATGCTTGATAGTAATTTAGGTGTCTTTTTTGAGACATCTAAATTATTATCAAGCATTAAAATCTATAACAAATTTTTATATGAAATTATACCACTCTTTAAACGATGAAATATAACATAAAATAAATTAATGCATGGGCGACTCACATGTTGTTTCCTTGGCGTGATCGACAATGAAAATATCTCATTATCTGATATGCGAAAACCTAGAAGCACATATAAAAAAAACCTCACGAATGCGCAGACAGATACAGGTTTATTTATATATATATATATATATATATATATATATATATATATATATATATATATATATAGTTCAGGTAATCTATCCGTTGGTATATAATCCGGTGGATCTTAGTAATATTAATTATTAAAACTGATCCACAGAGAGCTCAATGTTTTTATTTTAACAGAGCATATGTATTTTTAAATAAAAAGAAATTGCCTTAACTATTTCAAGCCGTTCTGTAAGCGGGGATCATCAGCCCCTAAGTTTCTTTTGCTCTAATATATATATATATATATATATATATATATATATATCCTAGAATAATTATATAAAATGTAGCGTGTTGATTGTTCTTATCAGTAAATTTGTCTTTGCCGTTTCGGCTGCTTCCGTGATCTGAACTCTCTCATTGTTTTTGGTTTTAGAAGGTCAAAATGCCATGTCATTTATGGCTGGCTCCGTTTTATGACGTTGCTTTCTTTTCTCGAAGATCAGAGCTTCGATTCCGCTTTCAGTGTTAGTATCACGCCTCATCGCACATTCAAAATCCTCTAAAGGAAATGAAATCTTTTCATTGGATGAAAAGGAAAAAGAACAAAGGGAAAATTGTAGGCAATATAAAAAAACGTTAAGGTAGAGAGATCTTTAGATTTTACCCAAATGGTTTCGATTCGATTCTAAAATAATCATGAGTTCAATAGAGCTTGTATCCGAGCGGATTTGCCCCACTGGAAAGATTGACAGCAGCGAAAAAAAATGGCTCTCAGAGGAAATATAATACGTACCTTACGATATGCGTACACACACACACACACACACACACACACACACACACACATATATATATATATATATATATATATATATATATATATAAGTATAGGATTGGTGTATACGGAATAAATTCCAATAACCAACAATTACTATTCTTAAAAGAGTGCTCAGTACATAGCAGAGCAGATATAATTATTTATAAATATTTTATAAAATCACTACAAAAATAATAGTGATTTTATAACATATTAATGTTATAATCTTTAAATAAATAATTATATATAAATATATATATATATGTCTGTGTGTGTGTACACAGTGTGCGATGGATAAGTTATCGTCTAAATGACGCCAAAATGAGACTAAAATTTAATAACATCTTATTTTAAGAGATTGCACAAAAATTATCTTGAAATACTAAAGATTAGATTTATTCAATAAAATCGCCATTGCCTTTACCTCCGCCCGCCAAACCACTTTGGAATCTTTTGCAAATCTTCTGGGCTGTCTGCTTGTTTAAGTTGGTTTATGCTGGCATAAACCTTGCCTTCATCTTTGGTATTACAAGGGGTTTTGTCGGTCTCTCACTCACCTAAGCTCACGCATAAAATCAAGTGGGTTGCATAGTGGGGAGTTAGATGGCCAGATGTAAGTGGTGATGTAGTCATATACATTGTCTGGAAGCCATGACTGTGCTATCTTACTTGTCTGGGATGGCGCAGAGTCCTGTTGCCAGACAGGTCTTCCAATACACACCCTCTTGACTCATGGCATCACTAGCTCCCCAAGGAAACTTGATGTATGACTCTGGGTTGAGTCTGAGGCACTTACCCCAAAATTTGGTAGTCCTTTTCTTATGCGAATAATCAGAGTGAGTTTTCGAAGCTGCTGTTCCCTCGTAATCACCATTAGACTCGTCCAACTATTTCTGTATCCCTTGCACTGTCCTCAAATTGACACCCAGTCACTCTGAAATGGAAATTCCGGTGCGAATGACAAGCAGT